CAGGGAGGATAAAAGAAATCATCTCTGGGGAGCCCACTCTCTGCAGACGACTATTCGCCAGAGAGGATAAGGACATACGTGCAGAAATTAGATGGCTGGTTCAGTGGCTCACCCAACTGGCTGATGAGGGAGTGAATGCAGAGCTGGCTGAAGGCCAGCGACTCTGTTTTGGGGCAACTGTTGAGGTTTTTCATTGCATGGGAACAAAAACAAAACTTCTTTTGAAACCAGAATTGTGTCATGCTGTTTTTGGATTGAAACCTAAGCTTCTCGGTTCAGGTAGATTTTTGGGTCAAAAACTCTCTGGTCATTCTGACGGGGGGTCGGGGGGGGGGGGAAGAGAGAGAGAGAGACTGACTGACTCTCTCACGAAAGCTTATGCTCAAATAAATTTGTTAGTCTCTAAGGTGCCACAAGTACTCCTGTTCTTCTTTTTGCAGAACATTATTATTCTCCTTCAGAACCACTCTGTGCACTCAATGGAAGGGAGAATTGCTAGCAATTAGCATGCTAAATGCTTAGTCACTGAAAAGGCCCTAACTCCCCCCTCCCATGCACCCTAATTATGAAAGTACACTCTCCAGGGAGGATAAAAGAAATCATCTCTGGGGAGCCCACTCTCTGCAGACGACTATTCGCCAGAGAGGATAAGGACATACGTGCAGAAATTAGATGGCTGGTTCAGTGGCTCACCCAACTGGCTGATGAGGGAGTGAATGCAGAGCTGGCTGAAGGCCAGCGACTCTGTTTTGGGGCAACTGTTGAGGTTTTTCATTGCATGGGAACAAAAACAAAACTTCTTTTGAAACCAGAATTGTGTCATGCTGTTTTTGGATTGAAACCTAAGCTTCTCGGTTCAGGTAGATTTTTGGGTCAAAAACTCTCTGGTCATTCTGACGGGGGGGTCGGGGGGGGGGAAGGGAGAGAGAGAGAGACTGACTGACTCTCTCACGAAAGCTTATGCTCAAATAAATTTGTTAGTCTCTAAGGTGCCACAAGGACTCCTGTTCTTTTTGCGGATACAGACTAACACGGCTGCTACTCTGAAATCTCTCACACTCAATACCCTGGAGGATAGGGTAGTGGCCTGGGAGACCCAGGTTCAAAGCCCAGCTCCACTTGATTCAGAGCAGCCAAAGTTATATAGAGAGAGCATCAGGCAGAGCAGAGTCTCCCATGTCCCATACTTATCCAGCTTTGAACCAAGTTTTTGAAGCTCTAAAGTTGAGCTGCAAATTTCAAAGATTTCTTTTTGAGGCTAGAAGAGATCATGACAATCCTAAAAAAAACAAACAAACCTGTGAAAGGCGGTGCGGCCCCCTTTGGAAATTTTAGAAAGGGGTCCGTGGACCACAGATTGAAAACCACTGCTCTAGTGTGATCTCCTGCGTTACACAAGCGAGAGATCTTCCTCCAGTGACTCCTGCGCCATTCGAATTGTGGCTGAACTAGAGCCAGGGCCAGCTCCAGGCACCAGCCTGGCAAGCAGGTGCTTGGGGCGGCCGCTCCGGAGAGGGGCGGCACATCCAGGTATTCGGCGGCAATTCGGCGGACGGTCCCTCACTCCCGCTGGGAGCAAAGGACCTCCCGCCAAATTGCCGCGGCAGATCGCGATCGCGGCTTTTTTTTTTTTGGCTGCTTGGGGCGGCCAAAACCCTGGAGCCGGCCCTGACTAGAGCATACCTTTTAGAAAGAAATTTCATGACAGCACGTTTCTTCCTACAATTCCTGTTACCTCATACAACCATGGCAACATCCTGTGACATTTCAGAACTTCCACTTTGCCCCCAGTCAGAATCTTGGAAATACAGAAGCACAGAAAAACAAAAAAAATAATGGAAAAGTGATTTTTTCCCCCAAATTGCAAGGGGACAGCGCTTCAAACAGATTTTAGCTGCAGTTAATGGAAATTGTGCTGTTAAAATTGTGTTCAGTGAATTTGCAATGTACTCTAACGTGCCTGTACTTGGCAAGGAGATGGAGCCACTTTTCCAACATGTACTGTATCTAAAAATCCTTTTAAAAAAAAACTACCTGTGATCAACAGGAAGTCTCCTAGAGAGAAAAGGTAGATTGCATAATGATGAGAAATGGTTGAATTTGCTCATCAGCATACACATCCATTAGCCCTGAACCTATATTAACTTCTCCAAGGGCAGACACCTAATGCTCAAAGTCAATGAGGATTCACAAAGGAGCAGAAATCTGCCTGGTGGAGCTCATTTCAGCATTGGGGCCACAGTTCACACCAAACACCTACCAGGAAATCTTTGCCACTTTTATACAGTAAAGGAAAAGCCGGTTGGAAAACATAAAATCTGGATGCAATTTTTGCAGTTCCCACCCTCTCCATCCTAAAAATAAATAAACAAACAAACAAACAAACAAACACCCCCCCCACCACACACACACCATTTTTCTGAACAGCTCCAGTTAAAGAGTGAAATTCTTCACAGTGTAGAGGATTCTCACATCTCAAATCCTAGTTTAAGGGCTTCACTGCATCTTAGGTAATGGGTTAGTGTCTTCTTATGTATTATTTGTGCTCCATTACTGCCTCCACCATATCAGGGACCCGCTATGCTAGACAGCGAACAAAAGTATAGGCAGAGAAAGTCCCTTTCCCAAACAACTTGCAATCCTTCTAGCTCTCTCTT